ACAGGAGGAAGGTGGGCATCCACAGGTGGTGTGGACAGGAGGAAGGTGGGCATCCACAGGCGGTGTGGACAGGAGGAAGGTGGGCATCCGCAGGTGGTGTGGACAGTATGAAGGTGGGCATCCGCAGGTGGTGTGGGATGGGATCCAGAATCTGAGGGGACTCTTAACTTCTGATAGGGTGAAGGAACCATTGTGGTCGGGGTGGGAGTGTTCAGTAGCAAAAGATAAGTTGCCTCAACTCAAGGTGATTGGCCAAATAAGGAACTATATTAAACATAATGGAAGATGGACTCCCATTGTCAGAGAAAGTAGCAATAAAAATGAAAATAGAGGCCATGTAGGCCCCCATAAGACTAGTTTGGAAATTAAATTCTCAATGTTTCATAAACACATAAGAAATAAATGTAGATCTGAGTATGTGGATAGATAGATTTTTTAATGCCATGTGTCCCTTATTTCTGGGTCCTAAGATAACTGCCCTTGCACATTGGGTACAATTTCCTCCCACATCTTGGTTTCTAGCCACCATTCTTAACCGAAAAACATGGAGAATCCTTGGAGAAAGATCTGATTCTGGAATGGGGCTTGAAAAAATAAAATACACCAGGCAAAAGTGGTGCATGCCTTTAATTCCAGCATTCAGGAGGAAGAGCAAGGAAGATATCTGTGAGTTCAAGGCCAACCTGGTCTACAAAGTGAGTTCCAGGACAGCCAGAGTTACACAGAGAAACCCTGTCTTGAAAAACCAAGGGGGAAAAAAAAACCTAGCCTAGAATATCTTCTTATATAAAAGCACAGATGTTCTTGCACAGTGCCAGAAACATGTTACAGAAAAAAGTCAGATTAAAAATACTATGACCATATCTGAGATAATTTGAAGATCCAAATGTGTAACAACAATAAGAGATATACAGATTCAACTTGACACAATTGCACCCATCATGAAGGTTAGCCACCATGACTCTCCAAGGGTAACCCTAGTCAGTTTTGTTCCTCATGGTTTCATGGTGAACGGCAAGTAGATGGGGCCATTACTAGGCTTGTGTGGGGACCTTCACAGCTGCACTCTGGTGCTAGACATTGACCTGACTCTAATGGGACTTTTAGCTTAAGATAACCCAAGTATGTTATGACTTAAATGAAATCAAGTTTGTCCAAAACAATATGTATGTGCCTCCTTGCAACCCAAATGTCAACAACCACCTGATCTTGCTGCCCCTTACGCTCTGTCAGTAAGTCCCCACATGAAGAGCTGAACTCTGGAATCCTAATCCCTCCGCCTCACTGTCTTCAGTTATATGATGACAGCTTCTTTGGGAGTGGCTTCTCATTCAGGAGGATTGGAATGTTCTGGCACAGCAGATTACAATTCATTAAATGAAATAAACATTCATGAGCTCATGCTATCATAAATAAATACAACTTAACGGACTGCTCTGAAAATACTCATAAAATAAGAAAGAAGGAGTCATTTTACAGTCACTACTTTAATCACAGGATAAATGTTACTATCACGAGTAACGTGCTACCTGATAGGATCTAGAGCAATGACTCGCTGTCACAAATTCCCACCAAAACTAAACAAACTGAATTTGATGAGAAAGCAAAAGGAGAACCTAAAAACAAGGCCCCATGAGAGGGGTCAGCTGCTAAAGGAGCTTGCCACCAAGCCAGATGACCTGAGTTCGATCCCTGATACCCCATGGTAGAAGACGAGAACTACCCCATCCAGTTTTCTTCTGCAATTGGTATGAACTCTATGATATGCATGCCCCAGCAGACAATGCATAAATAAATGTAAAATAAAAAAATTAAAGACAACCCCCCAAACAACAAGCATCTTACAAAAAAATTCATACTTTTTAGAAGTGTTAAATCCACACCCGGTGAGACGGCTCATGCCTGTAATCCCAGCACTTAGGGAACTGTGGGAACAGAATCGCCTAAGCCTGGAATTCAGAGACAGTCTGGACAGTACAGTGTCACACCAACACCCTTGTAGCATGACGAATAACATGGGACCTGGTAAATAAGAGGTTCCTTGGCTGTATAAATTTTTCAAGTGAACTGTAGCACACACAAGCCAGGAAGAAGGAGCCTATGGTAGAGCTGAAAGTGTCACTCGCTACATTCAGTGGTACCAGTGCTTGGCTGTGAGACAAACGCAGCCAAAATTAGAACATATGAACTCACGGAGCAAGGTTGAACAATCAATCCGGTTAAGCTCCTGGGCTCAGCAGTGTGATAGTATGCTTACAGAGAGCAATCTTCCTTAAAGCCAAACCCCAAACACACACACACACACACACACACACACACACACACACACACACACAAAAAAAAAAAAAAAAACCCACAGTTTCAGAGACTTAAAAATCTAGTTTGCCAGCTTGGATTTACATCTTAAAATTTTAGATCAAAAGGCCTGGGAAATGGCTCAGTAGTTAAGAACACTGGCTGTTCTTTCGGAGAACCTGAGTTCAGCTCCCAGCACCCACACAGTGGCTCACAACAATCTGTAGGGGATCTGATGCCCTTTCACAGCATTCACAGCCTGTGTGGACACCAGGCACACATGTGGTTCACAGGCATGTATGTGGGAAAACACCAGTGCATACACTATAAAAATAAGTGAGACACTTTTAAAAATCAGGTTAAGCTGAGTTCTGTGTGTGATCCTTAGAAGGCTCCTGTTACTACAAAAGTATCAGAGAGATTGTCTTTCACTTAAGGCAAAAATTCATAAAGGAGACTATCTTTTCAATATGCCATTCCATGTTGGAGAATACTCTTTATTCTGTTCTGGAACTGAGTTGCCCTGACAGGGATTTGGAGATAGCTAGAGAGATGTAAGGACTATAAGGACCTGGACTATTTGACAGTTCTTAGAAGAGACTCTACTGCAGGGTTAGCTAGAGGTTATGGTGGTGTGCCCATAGGACCCAAAGGATAACAGGAAGTCTCTTGAACCTTCATGGACATTTTCCTAACACATGAGAAAAATGAACTTAAACATTTTTTTCACTTATTGTTTGTGTGTAGGATGTATATATCTGGATACACACATGTTTGGCAGTCATAGGACGATTTTGTGGTGTTATCAACCTCCTTCCATCTTTTTGTGGGTCATAGGAATCAAACTCATGGTGAGATTTACACACCAAGTGCTTTACCAACATCTTGTTGGCCCCTGAAATTATTGTTTCATTGATACTGTGGTTTGAAGCTGTTTATTTTAAAAAGCAGCCACAAGTCTACATTTTTAAAGATAGGTTGGATGATCATCAGTAACACAATTTAATGGGTCCTAACTCTCCTGCCATAGATATGGAAACTTAGACATATTATTTATCCTCTTTATGCCTCATTTCCCTCATATATAATAATAACACCTTAAATTATAGAATTATTATGAGCATTAAATGAACAACACATTCAAATTGCTTACAGTGGTACCCAAGGCACAGAAAACACTAATTGTTAGTCATAGTTATAATTACTGGAGAAAAGGAACTAAGTAAAAAAGGGAAAAAAAGTCAAGTAAAAAATGCACAAGGAATCTGTGATGTGGTAGAATACATTTGATCATTTTTCTGATAAATATATTTGCTTAGTATGTACCAGGCACAAAATTCACAAACGAGTTTCCCTTTATTTTTATACTCATCTGTATAAATGAAGACAATTTTTAGCCACATTTTCCACAGTATCGGTACACAGATTTAATTATAATTTTTTTTTAGCAATTTGCCTCACAGTACTAACGAGCATTCCAAACACAAGTTGTACCATCTTGCTAATTGTTATTATTGTCATCGTTATGATATAGTGGTTTCAGAATTTGAGCAATGCATAGAAGGACATAATTACAGCTACCTAGGGTAGAAACAGAAGAGGTAATGTCTCAGCATTTTTAGGAAAGGATGCATTTTTCCAGGTAGAGAGCGAGGAAAAAAGCATTTATGGGGGCTGGAGAGATGGCTCAGAGGTTAAGAACACTGACTGCTCTTCCAGAGGTCCTGAGTTCAATTCCCAGCAACCACATGGTGACTCACAACCATCTGTAATGAGATCTGGTGCCCTCTTCTGGCCTGCAGTCATACATGTTGTATGCATAATAAATAAATCTTAAAAAGAAATTTTAAAAAGCATTTATGGATTCCTATGTTTGCCCCTAAACTTCACTTGTTTTCAAAGTCACTAGGTCCACAGTCACTCCACTGAGAGCCTGCTTTCGACTGACCGAATATACAAGCCAGTGTATCAGCAGGAGCTGGGCACCAAACTGAACACTGCAGCGGAAACAGAGACAGCCTCCCAGCTGGATCTCCTGTATTCACATCCCCTCTTCCTCAGGGGCTTTTCTGGGGTTAGCAGACTTCTCTCCCAGGAGCATGGTTTTCATCTTGACTGCCAGACAAGGCAGAGTCATTCTCAAGTCTGAAGGATGCTGCCTGGCTTTCAGCATCTCCATAGTATTCCCTCCCATTCCAAGTGTGGCCTCAGTGCTAATGCCACCTGGGAACTTGCTAAAAGTGGGTAATTGCATTCCTAATGCAAACCTACTAAATAGAGTCTTCATTTTAACTAGGTGGGGAGGGTTGCAGATTGAAATCAGCTTTGAGAGACAGTTTTCTACAATATTCCTTCATCTAAACCACACAAAACGACAAACTTGCAGCCTCATCAAGGAGAAACTGAGTTGGCGGCATAGCTCAGTGGCAGAGCCACCATATAGCACGCACAAGGTTTTGAGTTCAATCCTCCATCTGCAGAATTACATCTTTTCACTAATTTGGAGGTATCCTAAGCAATCTGCTGATGCTCTTAATTCTGCCTCCTTCCACCCACTATTCAAATCTCTCCTGCCAGTGAAAAGCCCCATAACTTCATGAAATTAAGATCATTTCAAATGACACTGTTCTTGCTAAACACTTCTTGAATTTGGGCCACACCATTGCATTCATTTTAGTAACTACTCATTCATTATGCATTGAATGAACACTTTCTAAATGTTTATTATTATCAGTACTGCTGCACAGTGCACATTGCAAACCCAATCCAGGCTTTTTCTATGTTCAGTCAGCTCACCATCAGGGCTCTGATGCATCATAGAGGCCTTAATATTTTACAGGCAAGAAGTCCACATGAGAGATGGGAGGGTGCCACATTGGACAATGTTACAAAATTTGTGCTTTTCACTTGTTGCTGAAATTACTTCAGTGAGGTAACATTGTTGAATGATATGAAAAGATTTTGTGATGTGAAACGGAGAAAAAACAAAAGACACTGAATTTTCATTTTTATGTTAATGTTATTTCCTAGAGTATCTTCAGTTTTATAATACGCAAGCAATACGTCATTCTTCTTTCGCGTAACAAATATCATCATTAAAATTAGCTCCTGACTGTCCTTTTCTGGATCCTTAAAGTTTAGATGTGATAGGCATCAAATAAATACTTGTTTATTGAAGACAGTCTTTGGTCTGGGGTTGGGGACCAGGTTTGCAAATGGGAACAAGCATTGCACAGATGCAGTCCTTTTCTCGGGGTCTTTGTGACACAAGGAAATATTCGTGAGTTCGTGGTGACATTTGGGGAATCAAAAAGTTCCTCCAGGGTGCCATGGAAGTTTTTGCTTCTCTGTAGCTGATGTTTGTGTTCAGCAGAGACAGCTGGATCACAGCCAACCAAATGGGGTTGGCTTGTAAAAGCTTTTATGGGTGGGCCTTTTGGAGGCAAGTTTCAGGGCCATTTGGTAACAACATCCCAGTAGGAGAAATTTCACCAGGACACCCTAATGCAAAGGTTTGATGAGAATGGACAGGGAAGGACAAAGGAGGTAAATAATTAATAAGTATACAGCAGTCTGTATTTTTTTATAGTAAAAATAAAAGTTAACTTCCTGGCAGTTGCAATATCAGCTCTGTAGGTAACGTGCCATACATCTGGTGGACAGCCATTCTTCAGAGGTCACCCACTCCAGCACAGCACTGGAGCACATTAAGGTTACATGTTACACAAACCCTTCCCGGAGTCCCTTCCATTAGTGTGATTTGAAGATGGGCTACCCTAGGAAACTTCAAAACCAAATTTAATGAAAATACTACTTACAACTAATATAAACTGGAACTTTATCGATCTAATGTTACATGAAATGTAGGCATTATTTTGAGTCAAGAATCAGCAACTTCTTTATATTTATAATCTCTAAATTAGCCACAACTTCCCTTTATCTTAGTCAGCAATCATGTCGAAGATGAGCATTCCCATGAGATGTGTAATTTTCTCTTCATCTTTTAATTTCTTTGGACAGAGAAGAAAAGCTCCTGCTTCTCTTAATTGAGCAATTATTGTTTCTTAAGTGAATGTAGAGTTTGAGGATCATGCCAAAAATTTTCCTTTCATCCAGAGAGGAAGTCTAACGTAAGCAGTAGGAGAGGCCACATGTGATAGCACCCCAGCTGGAAAAGCCAAGACCAAAAGGAGAACTCAATCTTCACCTCTCCTCATCCCCTGGTGACTCCAAAGGTTCTTGAAAGGAAGCCACTTTGAACCAATTTGCATGTCGCCTTGGAGGCTTTTGAGAACTCTCCACTAAGTCCCTGTTTGTCCAGCCCAGGATTTTCAGTGTGCGGTTGAATGTGCTATTTGAGCATCATGACTAGGTTTCCTAGACATACAGAAAAATCCACTAAGAAGTGACTCATTATATCTCCTGATCTTAAGGCCTGGAGTGGCTCTAACATGTTTTCTAAAATGTTCTCCCAGAATTCAAGCAAGAGAAAATTGAGTTCACATGTGAATAGTTCTGGAAAATGCCTAAGACAGGGAACGTAGTGTTTTATGGCTTAGAGTATTATTTAAGCAGTGCTCATTGTTTTAGATTTTTCTCTCTACAGAGCTGCAGTCCACTTCTCTGGCTCTCCCATTTGTCAGTGTGCTAGACACTCTCCATGTGCCCTACATAAGAAGTCTTGCAAATATCTGAAGACAGCATCTGCACTTATCTTGACCTATAGGTTTCTCTTTGTAATTAACACCTGCTCTTCCTTTAGCTTCTCCTGGGGTTATCTAGCTTCTGAACTTTATCATTAATGAGAATTCAATTTCTCAATAATGACATTTTGATAACCTGCTAATATGGAGCTCAATTAAAGCTAAAAGTACATAAGAACAATTTTTAAATGGTCTTTTATGTTCAAGTTTTGACTGCTGTAGTCATCTGTAATATGTAAGATGCCATTAGAAACTGATGTTCAAACTTCAGATTTGGGAACTCAGCTACAGCAAGCATCTTTTTGGCTGCCTCCACTAACAGAAGTTTTACTAGCCACTACTAAGTGATGTTGAAAAAGGCATGCTAAAATATGACTGTAAAATGCCAGTGATTTGCATGATAATGTTGCTGGTACACAGTCATCCAAGTGAAACACACAGCTTAATATGTTGTGCTGTTCCTTCTCATTAAGACTATCACACTACCTGGAAACATGCCTGAAGTTTTTTCATGTTTAGCCATCTATTTGAATCTGCATTTTGCATCCTGTATCAGATTGTACTGTCTTTAATTATTTCCTTTTCTCACATACTGGTATTCAAGAAATAAAGGAGGGCTCTTTGACATGGCATCCAAACTGTATTCCAATAAGAAGTAAGTAATCCATCAGGCTCTTAAGGAGGGTTGACATTTGAATGCTGGAAACTGTTCCTTTTTCTTATCCTTTCCTTCTCCAGAGTGGTGATGGGCTAGAGATTACAGACTAGTAAAAGAAAAGAATAAAAAGGGTCACTGATAGTAAAATAAAATAAATCAACTGAGTATGAAAGTTCAAACATCAAGTACTACAGTTGTCTTACAGCTTTAAACCTCTCTGGGAATATTTGTATGTGTGGGTAAAGGCCAGACACCCATTAAACTGTAAGTCGTGTTATCAGATTCATCAGGACTTGGTTGTAAATTTGACTATACAGTTTGGGTTCATAGAAAAATGGGGAGGAAGCATCTGATTAAAGTGTGCATGGCTGCTGAGGCAAGTGAATGTTGCCATAGCAATTGAGATGAAATGTGCAAGAAGTGAGATAATTAAATCTAACCCTTTAGTAGGCTTGGCAGTGAACACTTTGCCAATAGGAGAAGTTATCCACAGCACTAAGATAAAACATATTCCAAACGCAAATTCTCCTCACTAGCATTTTGTTGTCCCTTCCCGAAACACATTGCCGTGGGTAGCTGATTTGAATGTTCTTTTTGAATAATCAAATGCGGTTTTGACCTTGGTGGGCAACTGCTTAGAATTTCCTCTGGTTCATTGTATCGTGGGAGCAGATATCTATGAAATAGACCCAGTTCCTCCCTTCTAGTTCCAAAAAATAAAAAGTGCAGTAAACCCAAAGCTGTCACTTGCGAGCTTAGAATTTAATGATATCTAGAGCGTGCTGCCCTCTTCAGGAGCTTATGCCTAAAAATGCTTTAAAAATAGCAGTTTAGAAACTATAAATATGAATAGTGATATAAAAAACTTCCATTAATAATCCCGTGTGAATAAGAAACACATATAATACAATTTACCTTTCTAAATATAAGTTTGGGGGATGTTGAAAGTTTTCAGTGAACAACTCAATAAATAGAAATTTTGAATTGGATTATGAACACTAATGATTGGATACAAATGGTAAGAATTTTTATTTAATTTTTTTCATTTTTCATACCAACCACAGTTCCCCCTTCTTTCCCTTCTCCAGCTCTCCCCTCACCTCACCCTCCACCCCCCATCCACTCCTCAGAGGGGGTAAGGTCTGCCTTGGGGAGTCAACAAAGTCTGGCATGTGGCAAGATTTTTTTAAAGGAATATTTTTATCAGGAAAATTTGTGAGTTGTGACAGAATCCAAATGTTTATTAAAAAAAAAATAAAATACCTAATAGAAATAGATGTCTTGTGAAGCATAAAATGTAAAACAATAATTAAGGAAGCAAAGGTTCTATGAATCCAAAACAGTTCTAATACAATGTTTACAATAAAGACAAAAAGGTGTTTGTTTTTGAAAATATTAATCAGACAGACACCTATCAAATCTAATTTTATTTTCTAGCCAATTGTCTTTTAAAACTATAAACAGTAGAATCTACATTTGAAATCTTAGTTCTTATTTACAGAAAGATTATGATTTAAGGAAAAACCATTTTAAATGTACATTAAGAATAGTTTTGTTGCAATGACTGCTTCTCTAGATAAACAGTTTAGAATCTGAAGTATGGGTCTCCAGCATATTCTAACAAATTCCCTTTTTTCTTCTGAGGTCACTTCCATTCCCTTTAGCCACTGTGTAATTTCAAAAGACAGAAGAAACATGATATATTTTCCTTAAAATATGTTTATGGTACTTAAGAAAGACAAGAAACAGAAAATTTACTAACCTCATCAGGATGTGACAGCATATTTTCTCATATTCTGATATGTTTATATCTATTAACACGAAGAGAAATTATTTTGTATTAAATGCAAAAAACTGAAAGTAAATGTTTATTAGAAACTTCAAAGAACATAGTAAATTTGAGACCCAACATGTGGGCTGGAAACATACTCATGGGCAAAGCACTTGCCCGGCATGCAAGGCCCTGAGTTTGACCTCTGGTGTTTCAGGGAATACATGTGTTTGGGGGCACTTTAGAGAATAGAAATTTGCTCTAATTTTTATCCTGTGATATATTGAGGACTTTAAGATTAATCAATAGAAAACAGCAAGCAATTGAAAAGGACATGGGACTTCACTTTTCATTTCTCAGGTTCTACATTTGAGTTTTCAGTTAGAAATTTTATTTATTGTTGAACAGAAAGAATGGTCATTATGTTCATTGCAGAAAACTGGAATATACCCCAAGTTTTCCCTTAAAGAATTTTAAGTATCTCTGTCACTTCTATATTCATGTAATTGAGCGAAATGGCAGAGTGAAAAAAATACATGTCAACTATATTCTCTTAACCCTATAGCATTTATTTTGAGAAAATAAAATGCCGCATTATGCATCTGAAAGTGCACATCACCATAAGCACTCAATCCCGAGGTAGCCCTGTCCCGAGTCATCTGTGTTCAAGAGCATTTGGCCCTGTGAGCTGGGTCCTTTTGATTTGCTGCTGATGCAGTCAATTGACAGTCAGGACCTCTGTAGATGAAGGTATAATAAATAATAATATTTTCTTTGCTTTCCAGGGTATTTACGATACAATGATAAATTTCATCTTTCCCAGAATGGTAAGTAAAGAACTCTTCCTACATTTGAAAGTCCCAAGCAAAAGCAAGGCAGAAAAGTTGCACTGTCGTGATGAAGGTGGCGTGCTGCCCTCTAACTCTGGGGAGCCGTGTGATAATTCTGTGGCTTTCAAGTCTCTTGAGTATTTCAAAGTTCTCACCTAATACGATGCTGGCTCTCTGAAGGGAAGAGGAGCTTTTGCTGCCTTTGTTGGATCATAGTTGAATACAATGTATTCAACATTTTGTTTCCTGGGGTAATTTATTTTAAAATATACATTGAGGCTGAAATAGATGTGTTTTGCGTTCTGTGTGCAGACTGTGTACCCGTCACACATACTGAGAGTTGGTGAATGAGAGCCTTTGGATTTTTACTGTTACAGAAAAACTGATTGAAATTTATGTCTGACCAGGGCTTTGAAGTTTCTGTGAATTTTAAAATGTTTATTTTCTAAACTATATATCACAACTTCCATGAGGCAGGGTAGGTACTGCAGGATTTTATTTAAATGTGTGGCTTCATTGTCTTCTTGTTTTTACAACACAGCAAATCATTTGGTTATAGTCTTGAGTATAACCTCCTTACAATCTAAATAATGAACAGAGGAATCTTACTGAATAAGAAAGGTCACCAGAAATGGTTCTCAGAAACTTGGTACTACATACTGTGATGTCTGTTCTGAGTGTCTGGAGCATTAACTATGAAAACAAGAACATTTTCATTGAAGAAAAATATCACTGTGAAATAGTCAAACATTGGAACCTGTGAAAAGGCAGGCAGAGAATGTATACTAGATATGTGGCATGCTGGGTAAAATGAAAAAGAGGGGAGATATCATGTGGATCTGGGGGAATGTCTCAGAGTCCACAGGCCTTTGGGAATATAACTCAATAAATAGTTTCCATTCTTCATTTTCTGAATTTCCTGTAATAAATGTAATTATTTTTCTAACAGAAGAAAAACATTACTTGAATAATAAACTATTCAAAAGAACATGTTTGATATTAAATAAGTATATAAACATATAATTGAGAAATATTTCTCTATGCAAAACTTACAACTAGAATGACAAAAATAAATATATATATTTATAAAATTTTTGTATATCCCACCCACCTCCAAGATAAAGTAAAATATAAGTGAATATTAATTAAGTATAATATATTTTTAAAGTACCTAAAGGGATAGAAAACTGTTCTTTTAAAAACCATTTAATTCTGATACAAATGTGTGCTCTGAATTCAGGCATAGTCTGTGATTTCACATTGGTGTTTAGGCCATGACAGTGTGGTACTTCACTTTTTAATGATAACAACAAATGCTCACAAGACAGAGAGGTTGTACCAGAAGATGAAACACTTCAACCCACAAGAACAGCAGACCAACATTCAAGAGTAACCAATTCCACCTACACCCACTGTGCAGTTTTCTCATGTGGAAACCATTGTCAGGTTGGGGGTTACTCAGAATACTTGAGTGATCCTGTGTAAAGGCCTGGGTTCTATGCCGAGCCTTTACAAGGACTAAGAGTGAAAGACCATGGAAATCTTTGCAGTTTTACTTTCACTTGTGTGGAGTGGAGGATCAAGCCTGGGGCATCCTGTACACAAAGCAAGTGCATCCAGCCCCAGGAGTCCTTGTGTGAAAACCTGCTCACCATAGCAGACTGAAGAATGCTTAGTATCAAAAATAACTAGTAAAATTGAGAGGCAGCGGAAATACCACTAGGAACTCACTGGCTTGCAGTACATCACACAAGTGTGAAAGTATTTTTGAGGTTGGAAAGTTCTGGTTGGACATGGTGGCAGCCATCTGTAATCCTAACACTTTGGAAGCTGAGGCAAGAGGATGGCAAGTTAAAAAAATATAATAGCGCATCAATAAGCAGCCAACGGGTTGATTATGTCTGAGAGTTTGGAAACAGCAATGAGAAGGACACTTCTCTCAATTTCCATTAAAATTTTGTTCACCTCATCTTTTCCATTATAGATCTCTGGGGATTCTGGTTTCACACAACTCTTTGGTTCATTTCACTGGAAAAAATATTCTTCCTAATTAGCAAAACAGTAATTGATGGGCTCTTTAAAACATTTTTTCTCTGTGCATTGATGACTGTTATTAGATTATCCTATTTTGTTTTTAAACTCCTGTTTTAAATGTGGTCAGCCAGGAAAGCTCTTAAGTCATTGCTTTTTGTTTTGTTTTGTTTTTTTCTAGACAGGGTTTCACTGTGTGGCCCTGGCTGTCATGGAACTCCCTCTATAGATCAGACTGGCCTCAAACTCAGAGCTCTGTCTGCCTCTGCCTCCCGAGTGCTAGGATTAAAATGGTGCATACCACTGCCCAGATGTTAGCCATTGCTTCTGCGGTCAGGCTGGCTAACAACTGGCTGTTGTAACTTCCCCATGCTCTGCCCTAAATTAGCTTCTGAAATAATTTATAATCACTTTGCAGTTGCTCAAATATACAAATAACCCATTAAATCTACACAAATGCATTTCTAGTCTGTTAACAACTGCATTGAACTGCATCATATAGATCATATAGCTAAAATACTTGTGTACTTGGACCATAAAAATACTAAGTAATTATAAAATGGGGGGGGGTTGCTGGCAAGATGGCTCAGCAGGTCAAAGAACTCCCCTTTCTAGCCTGGTGACACAATTTCCGTTCACAGAGCCCATGATGGAGCAAGAGAATAAACTGCCAAGATTTGTCCACGGACCGTGACACACGTACACCTGCACCTGCACCCACACATTCATATCACCATACACACATGGTTTGCCAGCCAGTGTCAGGGTAAAAAAACAAAACAAGGAATTACAATGATCTCTGACTTCCTCTCTGTGTCTTTTAATAACAGTTCCTTAATCCTCTCCTTCAATCATAGCTGAACGTGATCTGGAACCCCTCCCTCTGTTTTATTTCTTGCTTATCCAAAGCAATATAATCATTTGCTGTTCCCCCCAGATATCTTGATTCCATGTGTTTATACCTCAGCATATTTAATTGTTCATTTTGCACACTTTGTAACATAGACAAACACGATTGTCTATAATTACTTCACACAACAATGAATTTTCCACCCTTTACGTCGCAAAGACATGTACACTGTCATATACTACTCCATTACGTTCCAAGCATTGCACTGTTTCCAGTATTTCCCTTCTGCTGTTGACTGTGATATATAGTCATTTCACGAACAGTCAAAGACACGTATATGAATATATGCAAAAATCATTCTAGGACCGTGATTCTAGTCCTGGAATGATTTTTCCCCCTCCAGAGACTATTTAGTGATACCCACAACATTTTTTGCTTGTTACACTGGGATATGCTAATGGATATCCCAGTAACATGAAATATCCCTAAGGGACAGTGTTAAAAGAAAGACATAGTAGAGTCCCTATGTAACAAGGCCACCTTGTCTGAAAGGCCACCACTGTGAAGCTGAGGGCCCCTGCTCTGCCACAGCTGCTGAACATGAAACTTCCAGCTCTCCAGGTACAAGGATTCCAACTTCATTGGTACCTCATGGCTGTCACATAGGCCACATAGGCCAAGGTCCAGGTCCTATCAGGAGCACAAAGGTTGGCGTTTAAGTGTTTGGGACCCCAGTGAGCACATAATACTGTCAGGTGGTTAAAGGTAGTTTTTTTTTTTTTTTTTTTTTTTTTTAATGAAATTACTGATTAGATAATGAAAGTTCTTCATGACTTTAATTTTCTATCCCTTGATTACTGATGTGGTTGTCTCTTTTTGTCTTTATTGGCAACAAGTTTTCTGGTTCCTCTTTTAAACTTGAAAGGCCCTCGACTGGTTGATTTGTAGGTGACTACAAATGCACTAATCTGTTAGTTTTTTTTAGTCAAGTGGCAAATGTATATTTTTAGTTTCTTGAGGTTTATTTATTTATTTTGTCCCTTCAGGGCTGCTTGGCTCAGAGTTCTTAATTCTTTTACTTTTACTCTGCATGCGTTCCTTTTCTACTTCTGCCTTGCACTTCTGAGTTCAGAAACTGTGCCTAAGTCTTCTAAGTGTTTTAGCATTATGCTTTTTGTATCTGAGAATCTAATCCATTAGAAGTCAACTTTCATGTCTGAGGTAGAAATACATTTTGAAAAATAGGAAATTATAGACTTGGTGCTGTGTTTGGAATAGTTCGTTCTTCTTTCCCAGTGATGTATTGAAGCTATCCTTGTGTAAATCAATGTCCACACCTTTTCCAGCTAACGTTTGGTTCTCTTGGTGAGTCTGTCTGCCCCTCTGCCGATGTCACACTGCTGTTATTGTAGCTTTATCAGAACTTTTTGAGCTCTCTGGTGAGTAGCCTGTCTCCTTCTCAGGGGCACTTTGGCTACTGTGTCTTTCTCTCTTATAAACAGATTTCAGAAAGAGCTTGTCCCTGTCTTCTTTTGTAGACCCAAAAACAGATCGAGAAAGGCAAGAGGGCTCAGTAGAAAAGGGGACTTGCTCCTAAGCCTAGCAGCCCAAATCCATTCCTGGGACCCACATAATAGAAAGGAGAAAACAAACTCTCAGAAGTTGTACTCTGACTTGTACACACACACACACACACACACACACACACACACACACACACACACACAGCAGTCAAATTAAAAAAATCAATTTGACTGGAATGGTAGAATCTACAGTTTCAGATGAAGAAAAATAGTCCTTATAGGATCTGGATTGCTTCAATCTGTCTACATGCTCTCTTTTCCAAGTAGGAGGCTTTCCATAACTCCGTCCTCCCTGCTTTCCCCTCCCTTTTCCCCTTCCCCTTCTTTCCTACCTTCCTCTCTTCCCTTCTTTGCTTCTTTCTTGAGTTAAGGGCTTACTATAGAGCCACATGCAAACTCATGATCATCCTGACTCCAGCAACCACGATGCCGAAATCATCGCCATCTACCACCATGACCAAGCATTATAATGTTTTTTCAGAAGGGTTTTATTTTTTATGTATATCTATTAAACTTACTTCTACTTCTTACAA